GAGAATTAAAATCAGTGTGCGGGCGGGCACGTTTTAAACACCTCCATCTTTGGAGATTTTTCATTTTGTTTTGGCTTAGTCAAATTCCCTGAAAATTCATATATGTGTATCTCACATGATACAAAACTCATTAAAAAAATATAAAAAAATAATAAAATTGTTTAGGCCCCGAAACAAAGTGAAAACAAAAAGAGAAAAGAAAAAAAAACTTTTTTTTTTTTACTTAAACCAGATGGTCCATAAGACCGCCTTGCAGCCAATCTCTCTTTTTTTTTATTCTAAACGCCCCCGCCAGTGTTAGTGCTGCTGATAAGAGCAGCCATGCAGCCAATCTCTTTTTTTTTTTTTTTTTTTTTTTTTTTAATACTATGTGCTTCAACTAAAAATCTTTTTTGGTGAAGAACTAAAAAATTGAATACTATGCTATGTCAGCCATTCCAGCTTCCTAAACATAGAGCAACTCCTAGCCCTCCCTATACCAGGACATTACTACTCAAAGACAGTACTGACCCGACCAACATCATCCATAGCTGACCTCTTCTCACCACCAAGACTATCCCCGACCACATAGGGTGTCAAGGCGGTCCCCCACAATTCGCCACTGGCTTGCCTTCCTCCCTCGGCAAACCCCAAATCTCTCTACAAGGCCTCACACTCCTGCCGTTGCAGGTTACAGGGTAACACCCCAGCTCCGGCCAGCGTCGTTCTGGCATCGGGAAACTGAGGGCACAAAACAGAGCAACGCTGCCGATGTCAGTCCAGGTACAACCATCTCTGAAATCGAATATCCTAATAAAGAAGAAGACCGATGTTGCTCTAGCTTTCAGAACCCCGAAAGGCTTAATATACCATAATTTGTCCAAGAAGCTTCCAAAAGTCACCGTGCAGAGAAACTTCCCCCTGCCCGCAACCCCTGTTGGGCCTGTTCCATGCTGCCACCGCCGAGGAAAACCACCTTGGCCCCAACCTGGAACAGACCTCCTCCTTCCCCCCCATCCGCAAAGGCATCCAATTCCCTCCTAGAGGATACCTTCGCCCTCCCCTTGTCCCTATCTGCCCCCGCCGGGGTTGAAGGCGACCAACTCTCCCACCCCGGCCCCAGACAAGGACAAACCACAAATCTGCTCCACCCCCGACAGGGCAGTCACCTCCCACCTTGCAGCGCCCCTGTAAAGTAAGGCTCCCCAATAACAACCCCCACCCTTCCCCCAAAAATCCGAACCGTGACCAAAGAAGCCCTATCCCGACTGAAGCACACCCATCAGATGAAGCGGCCAATTAACCTGGAGAAAAATCTCATGAGGACAGTGTATAGTTGAGTAAGATTTTGTGATGGAGATCCCATGATGGAAACACTCAAGAGAGTGAGCATGAAAAAAGGAAAATCATGATGAAAGTGTCGGAAAAGAAAATACTAATTGCTGACGAGAACAGTACCCTAAGACAAAGGGTTATTAGGAGAGTATTGGTTAGCGAACTCACCTACAGATGATAGTAATGATGATGATAATGATATCGATGATACTGCCACAAATGGTGGTAATGACGATGATGGTATTGACGACTTGTGATTGGATGGGTGACCGAGAATAGTACCCTAAGACTGGAGATTTTAAGGATGATATTGGTGAGGAGGCTCGCCTGCAGACGATATCAGTGACATCCCACTAATGAGCATTGCAGTTAAGGGAAATATTTTATGAGGATGATGGTGATGAGAACGATAATGATGATGATGGTGATGCTACAGATGGTGATAATGACGAGCAACACTGCGTTGATGACGCTGGTAATGACAAAGTCCACATGGAGATGTAATGATGATTAGAATGACGACCAATTACCAATACTTGGATGAC